CGGTATAGCTGTATCTAATGACAACATGAGCTGCCAGGTCAGAGACTCCTATGGGATTCAGGTATAGCTGTATCTAATGACAACATGAGCTGCCAGGTCAGAGACTCCTATGGGATTCTGGTATAGCTGTATCTAATGACAACATGAACTGCCAGGTCAGACTCCTATGGGATTCAGGTATAGCTGTATCTAATGACAACATGAACTGCCAGGTCAGAGACTCCTATGGAATTCAGGTATAGCTGTATCTAATGAATCACTGACAAGAAAGAAGGAAACAAACCAGCAAGCAGCAGCCGCTGCCGTAAGAGCTTCGACCGGCTCTTTGAACCAAATAATACGATTTATCACTTTACGATGTGCGCACAACTGAAAGTGTGAAGGATGTTCAGTAACATCACGTCTCGAACTCCGGACCCTTAGTTATGCAGTCCATTCTCGTGTTTCAGCTATTTTACAATCGCCAACACCAGCCTATAGAAACAGCCAACCACCAACACATTTTTTTTTATATATTTCTAAACCATCTTTTGTTTAAAGGCGCCAAAATCATCGTTATAATTTCCCTAATATATTGTTAGTCTAAAGCTTTTTATTATTAGTTAAGAGCTGTGGTTATTTTGTAATAAATAAACTCCCATCAGTTTAAAAGCACTCAAATAGTTCGTTTTTACCGAAGCACATAGGCGTACGAGGCGGGGGAGAAGCCTCCCATCTTGCAATACATACGGCTATTCGGGCAAAATTAGACGCAGAAAATATGATGATTCGGAAAATCTCTACGTTCATTCGGGAAAAACTGGTAGCAGAAAGCCTTTCTTGCCCATAACCTCATTTGGGCAAACACTGTATACACCCCCCCCCCCCTCTGAACAATCCCTCGTATGCCGAAGCACAAAAAAGAAAATGCAAAAGAGGCAAATAAATGCTAAAAAAACACTATAAGTGTGTATAAATACATTAAAGTAGTTATAAATCTTGACATTGCATATACCATAAAATAGTTATACGGATGCAGCACATCAAAGCTTTAATTCAATTTTCAGTTTATAACTAAATCTGCTTATTTAACCATGCCTATTTAATAGGATTTTCCCTAAAAATCTTCAACGGTTATACTCGCATAAGCTGGTTATTCGCTACAGATCGACGCACTCGACACTCCTAAATTCGATTAAATCCTTTGATGTTACTTTGGTAACAATCTACTCTTGAACCCATGATCTCTAGGATTCTTCATTACCATAACAACAAATATAACTTTGAATATACAATATTTATAAATGATTACACAAACAATAAGTTCAGATAAATAAAATACTATCGTTCCTTATTATCTGAAAACCTTTTATTTTCGTCATTCATCAATCCCATGATTATTGCCGCCCACCAAAGATTCTGACTGTGCATGGCTCGTTACTTTGTTACACTTACACAATGACCACGGGCAAACGATAATTCAACAACTTTTGTTTCAAGGTTTTGGACACTTGCCAGTCAGTAACTTCACATGTTGACGGGCTTAAAAACTAATAAAAGTTTTTTGTTCGTTTTTTAAATGGCAGCGATTCTGAAACGTACACACAGCTACGGTAACTTACGCTATAAACGCCAACCAGACACCCACAGAGGACATCTCTGGGTTGAATTGTTTAAAAACAGGAGAGGGAGAGGCGGTGGTAAAGCCAAACTGCAAACAGTGTTATGAATATAAATTCAATATTAAAATAAAATTTTAAATAGTTTTTCTAGTTTATTAGCACAAACACTAGAAGACGGCCTTAAACCATTATAAACTATACCAAATGTTTGTTCAACGCACGCAAGTTGGAAACAGACAAGACATTGTTAACTCACGGCGGAGTGCACTGTGCACTACCACGCCGTACACTAACCCTATTACTGCTCGACTGACGATGTTGTTAAGTTGCTTTCTTCAACCCTAAAATCACTGATAAAGCCCATGTCCCATACGATTTTTAAACACATTTTTCTAAACTATTTATTCACCAAATTGCTTGTGGGTCCGTGACAGGTTTTATTAAAAGAATCCCTAATTACATACCATATAACTGCCTTTTGATGACGGGAAACTTTTGCGGTTTGAGTTTAGAAGAACCTTGTTTTAATTTTATATTTTTGCGAATTTGATTTGCAAAGGATTTTGTGTATGGGATTTAAGTTTTCAGGCTGCATGAATATGATCATATAACGAACATCTTTAATTAAGCAAAAGTTACCAGCATCTTTTATTAAAAACCATGGCTACAAATCTTCATAATCATATCAATTAAAGTGTAAATGAGTCAATCTTACGATCATGTAAAATTAAGTTAATATTTTAACAGTGAGATCTTTACATTAATGCCTGACAATAAATACACTGACCGAGCCTATAAGAGTTCTAAAATCGATATCAATTAACATTGCGCGAGACGCTCACTACACCCCAAGAATAAACAGACTGTGTACAAAATACGTCACATTTTACAAATTGACAGTCGACTGGTAAGTCGAGAAATAATCACAAATTAGAGTACCGCAGAAAATATCAAGTATACTGTATAAGTCGCAAACAAAAAAATGTAAACACAAATGCTGTCGATATTGAAATTAATCCTACTAATTATTTTTGGTGTTTCCTATGCATATTACACAGAAAACAAGTGGTTTCACCTAATCTGTTCAGTCAGTTCTTTAAAATGACTGCTGTGACAGTAAAAAGGTATAATTAAACGATATGAAGCAACAAGTGAACACCATCAGCAGCGAACGCGTGTAAACAAGTCGATTATTTGAGGGTTTAAACTGTTCTTATCCGTTTGTCCATGCGTTATTCTTATGCTCCTTATTTTATTGCTTATATAATTGCACATCGAGGCATAAAGACATACTTTAAGAAAATATAATTAGTTACATATGGTTTTTGTCCTTGTCACTTCATTGTATAAACAAGGCCATGCCAACAGGTTTATTCAGAGATTTCCAAACTCGGGCCGCAGGAAAATGCCCGGGGGGGGGGGGGGTAGGCAAATACATAAAACTGTGGGGGGGGGCTCAGTCAGCCCGCCAAATTTTCTGGGTGGACTTCGCGATGAGAAAGTTTGGGAACCCCCTGGTTTAACTCACCGGTAGACACAAGGATTATGACGTAATTTATGATGTTATGCACGTCAACATTACAACACTCTTTACTCTGAACAGCAGGCGAACAGATATCTCACCTCAATAACCTTCTGTAGCGTGAGCCCGTTCCTCTTTTTACCGTTGTTTTCGTCATCCGTCTCCAAAGAATCATATTCTCCAGAATCCTTTTCAATCCCTTCGTCTGCATTTTGGGATTTAGCGTCGTCGCCAGAGCTATCGCTGTCGTCAGCATTTGAAGCGTCATCAGGATCTGCCGAAGTCATTCGGTCGATTAAGATTTCTAGATTCTGACTCAGATTTCGCTCCTCATCTTCACATAGGCCGTAATCTAATGCGCGGAAAATGACAAGTCCTAGTGAGGCCACAATCTAAAGAAAAAAACATGTACACATAAAGTTACAAACAGAACGTAAAACCTCCACCATTTTATAAAATTGAAAATATCTAGCGATGGGAGAAACAGCAAGAAGACCCGAGTCGCAGTCAATATCATTTACAATGCTTTAAAAAAAAAAGAGATAAAAATACTGAACTTTTACCAAATGACGATTAATGCCACAAACAATATGTAAAAAACATACAGTTCATCTTTTGTGAAATTGATTTTCAGTGGAACACCAGTTCAAGTTGAGAAAGAGTCAGTGGTCAGTATTAGGTAGGTCAAGATACGTCTTAGATATTCATAAAATATGTCCTCGGTTCGAATATATTAGGAAATTATATGGTATTATCATATAGCCATCTTATTGCCTGTAGGATATGACACCAGTAATATAATCAATATGGCCACCCCCCCCCCCTCTCAGTGGCACAGTATGTCTGCGGAGTTACAACGCTGGAAACCGGGTTTCGATACTCGTGGTGGGCAGAGCACAGATAGCCCATTGTGTAGCTATGTGCAGCTACAAACAAACAAATATGGCCATCTATTCTAAAATATATAACTTATCCATACATGTTCTAAAACAAAGTAATATACACACACACACAAACAAAAACACTTAAAAATAATTTTCTAATTATTAATATGTTTTAAGAAAATTTTGGCAATAGGAATCGTTTTTTCGTGTGTGTGTGGAATACCTTAATCATAAACAGCCCCAAGTCTCTCACAATGTAAAAACTAATTATCAAAACTTCTCCCTTCACTGTTTTCGAGAATAAATTTATAATAAATGCAAGCAGGCTGCCTTCTGCTTCCTCCTTGATATATTATTAGACTGTCAACTAAACACCCAAGGGTAATGGATGACTATTGGAGCATGCCTCTCTTGGGAGCATCCAAAACTTCTAATGTAACCTTTAGAGGGAGGGCAGTGACGATTTATTTTACATGTTCGCTCAGTTTTACGTGGCCGTTCTCGAATTTATAAAGTGTTTATTAAATGTGACTAGAAGTAGGGCGAAATCGTTTTAGTAGTCGAGTCATTATGCATCTAAGATTATTAGCATTCTAACAATATAATCCCGGAAATGCGATATTACCTTAACTCAATACTTAACTAAAAGTGTTTATTAAATGTGACTAAGAGTAGGGCGAAATCGTTTTAGTAGTCGAGTCATTATGCATCTAAGATTATTAGCATTCTAACAATATAATGCTGGAATGCGATATTACCTTAACTCGATACTTAACTAAACATACAAACTGTGCAAATTTCTTACTTGTGAACTTGTAAATACTGTTCACTAATTATTATGCTAAACTGACCGTTGGGGGAAACCGTGTGCCCAGAGAATAATTAGAAGCGCAGCAGACTAGTACACTGAATTAAACGAAATGTTCTTATGAAACCGTGTTGAAACGAGTGAAATATAAAATATACAGCAGAGAAGAAAATGCAGTAAAAGTAAATCGAGAGCGACACAATAATGAAGAGTACCGCGAACAGTATTTTAACAAATGTAGTCTTGATACCGGCTTTGAACTTTGAGTAACCAATCCTATACAGCGTTTTAAAATCAGGTTCACTAAATGAAAACACATTAGTTACATACAGGCTAAAAATCTGTACCATGAAATGACAGCGAATAGCAAAAACGTTGTTAATTTGAGTTTAGTCCTCGTCTACTGCCACGACGAGCCTTGTTCAATACCCTAAATCAAACAATGTGAGCCTAAGGCACAGGCCAAGAGTAGCATGCAAGGCTAATAAGAAAACAAAAGGGCAAAAATAATTTCATTGTTTATAAACAGATGAGATGATGAGTGTTTTTGATTCTGCAAAATGTTATCGAGAAAAAACATAAAACTTTGCTGGTATTTAAGTCACTACAAAAACTCTTGGTCAGTATTGTTTTGTCCTAGTTCACTTTCTCTAATATTTTTCATTACACCGCATAAAACAGGGGATGTCCATCCATCTGTATATATATAAAGACGAAATGTGTGTTTGTTTGCACCCTAACTCCTCCGAGCTTATTGGGCCAATCTCAACTAAAATTTGTATGTAAACACAACGAGCTATGGGAAACGTCCTGTCCTAAGGGGGTCATAATTGAACTTAACCCTATTTATATTTTGTGAAGCCTGTTGGTTAATTACTCCCAGCCTATTGAGTCAATCTCAAACAATCTTGGCCAACTGACGCTTTAGACAATATTGAATATTCTAAAGCGAATTAAGGTCAAAGTGTGAAAGTTGCTGGATTGTTTCTCAAACAACCATGCAATAATGAGATGTAAGGTGTTCAAGGGTGGGATCACCTCAAAATCTTTATTTGTTGGTAGATGGAAAGTAAACTGCAAATGTTGTTTATGAAGAAGCTTTGTTATAATCTTAAAATTTTGAGATAAAGTGTATGTTCAATTATAAACAAGATTACGACACTTATGATATACAACATTGTTTATTG